CCAGGCTTAAATTGTGGTTTAGTGTCCTGGTTCTTAATTAAGAGATTAAGCCACAATTTGACATTTTGTTCATTCAGACATCCTGGAAAAAAAATGGTGATTGTTTCTGAACCAAAAAGACTTCAGTGTTCAAGTTATGTGCAACAGAAGCATGTGAGAGTCTGGGGGATAAACGGAAGCATATTCTGGCTCATTCTTATCATGATCTAAACAAGGCTTGTTCTTGATGTCTAAATGCAGCCAGTGAGTTTATATCCATCCTTTGGGATGGCACATCTTCTGGGGATACTATTAGCAGAAATGTACATATCTTCTATTAAGATGACTGTACATTTCCAATACTTGGGAAATAATTGTAGTGTTCCATTTGCTTCTGCTGTAATATTCTGCTCCGTCCTGAATGTCACAGTGCAAAAAGATTATCGACATGTATGGCAAAGATTCAGAACTCCCAAGTATTATAATCACGTCCTCCAATCTGATGACTGTTGTTTTTCTTGAGCTAAAGAACAGCAGCGGTAAATCTAATTTGTATGGTGTATATCACAATCCTAGATGTCTCACTATTGAAGCTAAAAGTGATCATCTAAGTCCCTTTATACTTACATAAAACACTGTATAGTATTGTCTTGATAGCATCCCATAAAGCAGATGTGTGGCTTAAAAGAAAAAAATAAGCTTATAATAATACCCTAAACTTACCTTCAAAATGTACCTCTTAGCGACAGTTTGCAATTCATAGTCATAACATAAGTCAAGGGGGAAAGTTGCCAAGCAACTTACCAAGTGCTACATCCCTAGGGAGGTGGGGGGCAGAGATTCGACAGATCCAATAGAGAAACGGGGTAAAGGAAATGCAATATACTGAAAGTCCAGCTATCTTAGTATTTGCATGTAGAAGTCCTGTTTGAGTATCTTTTTTAGTATGAAAACATTTGGCCTGCCATTATACCATAGAAAGAAAGAAATACATATGCAGTCACTTAGCTCCTCACATGTGGAAACAGGTTTCTGCATGGGGGTCTCCCATGAATTCTTCCAAATAGTACAGAAGTGAGTTGTGTGACTCCCTGTAGTTTGTTTTTGGGCTACATGGGAGTGGGAGAACTAATTCAATTACTGCCTTTTCCTGCTTCTTCTAAAGAGGTCATTATTACCATAGACAGCAATATTGCCTATTTTTAGCAAGTCTTTGCAGGATATTGAGTTTTTCTTAATGCTACTAGCTTTATGTCGGATATGGAACAACTGATTGGTTTAGCATAGGAAAAGGAGTACGACAAGGATGTATATTGTCACCTTGCTTATTTAATATATATGCAGAGTACATCATGTGAAATGCTGGCCTGGATGAATCACAAGCGGGAATTAAGATTGCTGGGGAAAAGATCAACAATCTCAAATATGCAGATGATACCACTCTAATGGTAGAAAGTGAAGAGGACCTAAAGAGCCTCTTGCTCAGGGTAAAAGAGGAGAGCGCAAAAGTGGGCTTGAAGCTCAACATCAAAAAAACTAAGAACATGGCATCCGGCCCCATCACTCCTTGGAAAATAGAAAATAGTTGTGGAAGTAGTGACAGACTTCATGTTCCTGGGATCCCAGATCATCACAGACTGTGACAACAGCCATGAAATTAAAAGACACCTGCTCCTTGGGAGGAAAGCGATGGCGAACCTAAACAGCATGATAAAAAGTAGAGACATCACCCTGCCAACAAAAGTCCGCATGGTCAAAGCAATGGTATTCCCAGTAGTTATGTATGGCTGAGAGAGTTGGACTATAAGGAAGGCTGAGCGCCGAAGAATAGATTCTTTTGAATTATGGTGCTGGAGAAGACTCTTGAGAGTCCCTTGGACTACAAGAAGATCAAATCTGTCAATCCTAAAAGAAATCAACCCTGACTGTTCCCTGGAAGGCCAGATAATGAAACTGAAGCTCAAATACTTTGGCCACCAAACGAGAAGGGAGCACTCACTGGAGAAGACCCTGATGCTGGGAAAGATTGAAGGTCAAAGAAGACGGGGACGGCAAAGGATGAGATGGTTAGACAGTGTCATAGATGGAACGAACATGAAATTGAGCCAACTTCAGAGGACGGCGGAAGACAGGAAGGCCTGGCGTGATCTGGTTCATGGGGTCGCGAAGAGTCGGACT